CGACCCCCCCCCCCCCCCCCATCCTAACAGATACCTACTAAAAATAAGATGGAGACCCCCCTTATTAACTCCCTGTTACCAGAACAAACCTTAATACTGGCTTTGCCCCAGGAGTGCCTCATGGATGCTGCCCAGTTGTATGCAGAGCACAGTGGTAAGGCAGACTGCAGGCAGAGACAGGTTCCTTCATTAGAAAAATGTTTCTCAGTTTGTCTTCCATGGATCCCCCAGATCAGGCTTGCTAATAGGGGGGTAAATATACAACACACAAATCTATACTGCCACAGGGAAACTTTCAGGGAACTGCAAATGAAAAAACACTGAGCTAGGGGAGAGTGCCCTGTATGGAGTCAAAGCACAAGACTGTGGCCTGGCTCCCCCACAGTCTCATTGTGTTTGTGTGTGTAAGGTGAGATTTTCAGACAGCACATCTGTTTATACAGCACAAAGATCCGTATTCTTCCAGTTAACTCCCACTTAGTTCACTTTGAACTACAGCAGGGAGGAAGAGCACTGGGGCTTTGCATGAAGGCACCTGAGAAATTGAACCTGAATGCCTTTGTTTGCAGGTATAATGTTGGGAAGAATGGGGAACAGTGGTGTTCCTTTAGTCAGCTTTTGCCAGTGCTTAAACGAATCTGTCATGAAGATAGTGGCAGTTGCTGTTTGGTAAGTAACTGTTTTAGTAAGAAAATCCTTTTTTTTTTTTTTAAAGAGTAAGAAAATTTCAACAGAAGAGGATGTACAGAAATGTCATAAACTGATTTCCAGGGAAATAAATTAGGGTGAGCAATCCTTAGCTTTGCCCCAGCATTTGAAGGAAGATACAAACACACACATCCTGTCCCTGGCTTGTACTGTCATTTTGACAGAGGCACCCCATATATTACTCCCAAATAATGAAAGATGGTATAGCTCTGTGTGTGTGTGTTGTATGCACTAGGGTCACTGCCAATCCTTGAGCATGCCAAGAGGGATTATGATATATCCAGCCCTTACAAGGAAGGAGCATGATGAGATGCTCAAGCTGGTATTTCCATCCCTTACAGCACTGCTCCACTAGAAATACCAGCGTGGGAGAGGGCTGGGCTCTTGAGCTGACGGGACTACTGTCATTAGTGTGGTTGCTGCGAGCTTGGCTATCTCTGTACTGAACAGCACGGTGGAGATGATGTACCCAGAGTACCTGGCACTTGGGATGTCTCCAGTCAGCAGAATAGCCCTCAATGAACCATCTGGCCATGTCACTTAGGAAATGCCTTCAGAGCAATCCTAAATTACACTGAGAGGCAGCTAGACCTGCCAACCCACCTGCCCCAAAGATCAGAACAACAGTAAGTGACTGCCAACAACAAAAACTATCAGCTTAGCATCTTCCCCATCCTTCAGAAGGTCCCCAAACGTGGCTCTGCCCAGTGTGTGGGGATCCCGCTACCAGCACCCAGCCTTTGTTTCCAGCTACCTGGTCGAGTCTGACTGAACTGGGTCAGGGAATGATCACTTGGTTAGATGGGTCCAAGGAGGCAGTAATTTCTGGAAGGATGAGAGGGAAGGGGCAAGTCTCTGATGATGGCACAGCTTGCAAGTGGAAGATGGCTGGATGTCCCCAGATCTATTTTTATTTATTTTTTAATCTTAAGCTCTTTCGGCACCTATGGCTTTGTGTCCAGCCACACACACAAGCACAACAGTTTTGATAAAGCACCTATCCCACATCCAGTCCAGAGAGGGTTCATAAACAAGGTTATTTTTCTGCCTGTCTGCCCCAAATCAAACTCCCAGGCAGTCCAAGAGCATGTCTAGTGCATATTGGTATTTCTCCTATGTCTTCCAAAGGCAACATAAACATTTACTTAACAGCTTCCAACTAAAATCCATGAACAGGTACACGAGCACAATCACATGAGAGGAGCTTAGGATTCATTCCCCCTCTCCCCAGTAAAAGACCTGCCTTAAACTAAAAAGTCAGAGCTACATTCTGAACCAAAACATTTTAAAGCCATTCCCAACCAGCACCATAACCTCAGCTATGCTGAGGAGTACCCCACTTAAAACATTGTTTAGCCCAGTGCTTCAAGCACACTCCTCAGGTGTGAGAGAGCAGGGCTTAGTCTGATAAAACCACGGAACCCAGCTGTGCCGCTTCCAGACAGGCTGCTGTTACTGCACTGCTACTGCAAGTACAAGGATTTCCCGTCTCATACTGTTTGATGGAAGTGAGCTATCTCTTAATAATGACTGTCTGTCTTTTTGCTCAGGTATTTTCCATTCGGAATTGTGTTCCTCATTGCTGGTAAAATCTTAGAAATGGATGACCCTTCAGCCATTGGGAAGAAACTGGGTTTCTATGCCATTACGGTGGTTTGTGGCCTGGTGGTGCATGGGCTGTTTATTCTGCCAATGATGTACTTCTTCATCACTAAGAAGAATCCCATTGTCTTCATCAGAGGGATTCTTCAAGCCTTGCTCATTGCTCTAGCCACATCCTCCAGGTATTGTACAGTTTCTAGACAGATGTGACAAAATATTTGCTGGATCCTTACTACAGCTTTCGCTTGGGAACTGCACACTATAGCTGTACTGGAGCAGATATATTTGTATCTGAACAATGGCCTGTGTCAAATTTGTTGCTATACTTGTAAAAGATGCGTGTCTCAACATTTGGAAGTTATGTGTGGGAGCCATTTGGCAATAATGTTTGTCACATTGTTTTCCCTCAGTTTAAAAAATATTGGACAAAAATGTTCTTTCTTAGAGGACTAGAAAGGAAATAAGGGTATTTTTCCATAAAAACAAACATTGTGCCTCTACAAAGTTAATATATATAAGGGACACATAGTTTCTCCAGACTTCATTTATGGTATTAGTGGAGAACCTCCTAATTCAGCCATATGGAAACATTTTAGCCTTTCTACTCATGTTAGTCTTTGTTTCTTGGTACATTAAGAAAAGGCTGTAGTTGCAAGCTATTGTCCAGCACTGGGAAAGTATTTAGCTACTCTGCTCAAGGAATAATATATTTTGCATCCTTTTTAAGGAGGATGTACCCTGAGTTTTAACCATAGCTGAACAAAGGTACTGTGAAAGTGGGAAACAGCTTGTGAACTGGTTATGAAAATGACTCCCAACATGGATAAACTGGTGTGTGAGAAGTGCTTGAAAGGGCTGGAATTGTCTTGCATGGAGTGGAGACAAGAATGACAGCTAAAATAATATTTCCGTGTAGCCAATATCATGAAAACACAGTTTCATGGAATCTGTGGCTGGAGGCTTGTTACTCTGAAGTAACAAGAGCAGCTATACCTACCACTTTTTATGCAGTAATAAAATCCACAGTGCAAGCGGAGAATGCCAGGTAAATAGGTCTCTTTAGCACATCTTATATATTCATTATTTCTACTGTCAGCCGTAAACGAAGAGAACTAAAGAAAGGAAAAGATACATTTCTTTTATCGCATTTTTTCTTTCGGATTTTTAAAGTTCTTGTTACTTTACAGAGAGACTGGAAAATACTAAATTCTTATCCAGATTTTGAAATGATGACAGCTAGTGACAAACACCTAACTTCATCTACCTAATTTAGACTTCAAATTAGTAATTAGTACAAAATCAATGATAAATTAGGAACATCTATTTATAAAGAAACATAATGAAAAAATAAAAGGTTTTATTAACCCCAAAATATTTATTCTAATTAACAATAAGGACTGAGGAGTACTTCATCTAGTTATACTTAAATACTGATCCCTTCTTCCATCTTATAATAATTTCTATAATAAGTTGAGCTCTGATGACTAATGTATCCTTTCAGGCAATAGCATTGTACCAGCTTCTTATCCCTTGTGCCTCTAATCTTACTTTTCTCCATAACTTCCCAAGTGTAATCTCTCCTATAATGGAGTAACCCACATCATAGAAATAAAGTGCATTTGTAAATGGTGGGATTACAGAAGGAAAAGGCAGGAACGACATACAGATGAAAAGTTCTGGGAAAGCAGTCAAACAAATATTGATTTAAATAATTTGTTTTTAGTAGTCTCATAAGGGCTGTTATGTAATCAGCGCATATGGCTTTCCATAGGGCATCATCACTGATAAATAATTATGTGAGTTTTGCAGAAATCTGGAACTCTTACGCGAATTATCAAAGTAAATAAATACATGAAGAAGTAACAATGTAAATTCCCTGAACTCAGATTAGTTGATGTCATTCATTTTTGCTATAATCCTCTGCAAAACTATTTTTGTAACAAAACATTACTTTGCAATGCAGTAATTACCATCAATGCTAAAAGAGAAATAATCTCTATTTTACTGACGTGAGAATGACAAAGAGAAAACTTAAGTTGTACTAGACCTGTGCCAGACTTGGGAAAAGAGCCTAAAACTTTTATCCCCAGCCCATTGGCCTGATTAGGCTCATTACAGTTCTAGCTAGGTCCAGCAAGGTAATTTGGGGCAGGAAGGTCAAATGCAGATGGCTGTCATGAATATATGCACAGTGGTTAGGGCAGGAGTAAGCACAGCAGAAGGAATGTATAGGAATTAAAAGAAAGGTGGGGAGGGAATGATTATTTCAGTACATTTGGAAGGTATTGGCTTTCCACTATGTTTCATTTTACAAGGTGTTTTCATATATAACAGTTTGCTCCAAACCGACCTATAATGAGCAACACACTGTGAAATACAAAGTCAAGAAAAAAATCATGTGCTGGGTGGTGTTTTAAACTCTAGTTAGGTTTAAATAATTAAGGCAAGCTGTTTCATTAGAACAGAAAAAGTTTGTAGCTTGAGATGTTGTCACATCCCCAGATTCAAGTAAGATGCTAATTTTGCACTCAGAGATGTTAGTGTTGGAAAAGGCTCATCAGGTTCACATTTGACACGCTTGACTATCTGCCCTGCTCCTCTAAGAATTCTGTTTCTGAAGAACTCTGTTGCTGACAGCTTGGGGTTTTTAATCTGTGCCTTTCCATGCCTTCTCTTTTTCTAGAAAAAGAGCATTTTTCTCTCAAAATCTAATCTGAATTTTTCTCTTTTTAGAAAAAAAAAAAATTGTTCCTTGTTCTACCTTTAGCATGTATAGAAGAGTCTGTCCTTTTCTCTTCTTTGCTGTTAATAAGCAACAAAAATAACCAACCTTTTTACCAGTATAGTTCCCTTTATCAAGGGAGGTTTAATAAAGACTTAAAAGATCAGCACATATTTCCATCATTTTCAAAAACAGATTACTTATCTTAATTTTCCTTATTTTACATAAGCATTGCATTTTGATTTTATAACCAATTTACTAGTCCTTTACTGGTCTGGCAACTGTCAGGGCTTGTGCTTTTTTAAATAGTGATCTCCCATTCCTATCAAGACAGTTCGTTGTTTCTTCATTGGATCTCATCTCCTTACTCCGTCTCTAGATCTGAGAGTATCAAGCCACTTTAAAATCATGAAGAGCCCTCTTTGCAATTCATAATATATTCAGGTCCAAGTTGCTTATAATGTATTTCGAGGTTAGAAATGTTCCAATGCCAATATCATCAACCATAGTAATCATAGAATCATAGAATCATAGAAT